CGGGAACCCGACCACAAGCACCCAGCCTGGGAGACAAATGAAAAGAACTGGGAGACAAATGAAAAGAACTGGGAGACAAATGAAAAGAAGTGGGAGACAAATGAAAGGAAGTGGGAGAACCCGACCACAAGCACCCAGCCTGGGAGACAAATGAAAAGAAGTGGGAGACAAATGAAAGGAAGTGGGAGACAAGCCAGCCGCGAACCCGACCACAAGCACCGATCTTGGGAGACAAATGAAAAGAACTGGGAGACAAATGAAAGGAAGCGGGAGACAAGCCGGCCGGGAACCCGACCAGACCATCCAGCACCAAGGCGACCATTCTTTAAAGCATTGAGAACCCCCAACAGTAAACTGTTTGGGGAAATACTTTCTATATACTCTGATCCCCAGAACCAGCAACTCACCAATTCCCAATCAGTTGTCTCCCTTTTCTGCTACGAGTTACCACGGCTTTGTTGGGGCTCGAAACCACCAGGCACCTCTCTACCCACGATCTTTTGATTGGATGCCTGAAGCCAAGCTGCAGCAGCGCCAAAGCCTCCATACGCTTATCCTCAGCAGAGACGAAAAAGCCAAAGCACCGGAATTTGGATTGAACTCAAAAAAGGGACCAAATAAGGAACATCATGGAATGTCGGGCTTTCCGATTCACGCATCTTGAAGGCTTGACTGGGTTCAGTGGGTTCAGTTCTCCTGCAGTGCCCTGATTGCTCTTGAATCCTAGGATTGTACTTGGAGTGTTGGAGAAGCGTGTTGCAAAGAAATTACACGATCTTGCAAAATGAGGCTCTTAGTCCATCTGATTCCATGACTTCAAAATACACTTGTTGAAGCAATACTGGGTCAGGGTGCTTGCAAAGGGACAGGGAGGATTGTACAGTAAGCCATGTGAATGCCGAACAATATGGCACCTTCACAAAGACTTTACACTCAGCTGTGAATAAAGGAGCTTGACTGTTCAGGTGAGTTGACTTGGTCGACAAGTCGAGCTCTTTTCAATCACAAATCACATCGCTTTGTCAGGGACACGTCCAACTCAATTCTGACAAGCACCTTGACTTGAATATAACCAATAGGGGGTTAATTCCGCACAGGTTTTATGGCAGCTATTGCTGTATCTTCCATGAAGGATGAATTCAATGGTACTTTTGGGAATGTTCATTTCCGAGTCTTCTTCTACCGCGTCACCCGGAGTTCCAGGAAGAGGTCCATTGCCTCGTCCGCGGCGTCCAGCGCATCGTCGGGGGAGGAGACCAAGCCGCGCGCCTCCGCCATGGCCCAGAGGCACTCCGCCTCGGCCGACGGCGCGACCGGTGGTCGTTCCACGCGCCGCGCGTGCGATCGAAGCAAACGGGATGGCCCGGGATGGCGTGATGGCGGAAGAAAGGAAGGAGTCGGGTGGAAGGTCTGTCGATGCGACGAAGGCTATGGCTCACTAAAACGGCACGTCGAAGGCTTCGACGCTTGGACGCTTGGTCAAAAGCACTCACCTGGATTGGATTTGGGGGGGATCAGTTCCGCGATGGTAGGCCCCCAACGACGTTTGCGGCATGGCCGACCCTGGAAGAGAAGGGATCAAGAACCCAAATCCAAATTGACCTCTATCAAAGCTGACCAGGTCTGCTTTCAAAGCCGACGAGGCTTCTCCCGCTGGGAGTGAAACCTGAGATTCCTCAAGAGTGGTTCAAATCCAGTCGAACCTCAAATAGATTCAAACCATAGCCATAGCTATGGTACTTTTTGGGGGGCAGCAAGGAGTTCTAAATTTATCTGATCAATCTTCTTCTCCGCGCCTCTATTCGCTTGTTGTCAAAGTCTTGGCAAATGTCTCTCCTGAGATTCTCGAGACTTGGCAAATTTATGTAAAGGATACCAAACGTGAGCCTCGACCCTGCGTGAAGACATAGCAGCATCCAAAACAATGCTCCTGACTTTATGTCAAACTTGCCAATGCTCATGGTGACGTGCCCTATTAAACCACGGCACTCATTTGCATCAGGAGCACTTCGAAACTGAGAACACCCTGTGGCTCAAATGCAGTGTGTAGGGCGATCCACATGTTCAGACCAAACCACTAGTCTCCAAACAACGCTCTCCGAGTGGCGCTTCTGTGGCGTTCTTCAGGGCTGTTTCGACTGCTCCAAGGTCGTCAACTTTGGCGAGGTTCAGCAAGGCCAAGGTGAGCAAAGCTTTCGCCTTGCCAACATCAATTTCCAAAGCACATGCACTATGTGTGCAAAAGGGTGTCACCTTCACCCCCACATGTCAATGACTGTTGCTCCATCGAGCCGTTTTGGGATGTAGAAACCTTCGAGTCTCTTCATCCTGTAACCATCGCCGCCCACGCAAGACGTGTGGTCACGGCGCAAGGGTCTGCAGGTTTGGAAGCTCTCTTCTAAGCCAGAGCCCCTCAGGAAACCTGTTTTGAAGTCATAGTCACTCAGGAGAGCTGCTTGCCTGAAGCCCTACCAAGTTGTGCTTCGTGTCTTGCCCCATTTTCTGGCGAGACACCTCCCATTCCTTGTTGTTCAAGTTCCTGCAGATCGACCGCGCTTCTTTGAGAGAGCTCACGGCTTCCGCCTGACCGCAGCAGATGTTGCTTCAGTCAGCTCACCAGACATCCAAAACCACTGATTTTCGGGAATCATCAAAAAACCCTTGAAAAGCTCCATGATTGGAGACCAATACTACTAGGTGCCAAAAGTATCAAAAAGTACTCATGTGTATGTGTGTGTGTGTGAATCATCGTTAATCATTGTGAACATGCCAGCATTTTGATCGTTTTGGATCCTAGAAGAGAAGATGGTTTTGGTCCCGTCCGTGTTCTCCCAACCCACGTGGGAACCACGTGGGGGACCACCAGCACCTCCAACGGGACCACCTGAGCGGCGCACCAATAGAGGACTCCCAGCAGACACCACGTCTCTTCGCGCGACGACACGTAGGACGGTCGACGCTTGATTCGATTTCAACCTGGTTATAAGTTACAACATGTTACGTACAACACTCCATGCCTGGGTGTCGGAATTCAGAGGAATTCTCAGAGTCTACGTTGTACAGAATCTGCCCTGACTTCACCTCCAGCCACCTCCACGCACACGTGACACATTACGCGACACATGCAAACGCCGCTTCGGCGCCGCGACGCCGCGGAGACACCCCACGCCTTGGCTTTGCCTTCCTTGGCCGCCGTGGACTCGCCCATCGACATCAACATCTTCGCCTCCCCCAGACGGTCTCCCGCCTCGCGCGGGCAAAGCGGTGAGGCTGCGGGCATGGGGTAGTTTTGGACGGATGTGGTCTGGGAGGGGAAAGCGGAACTCTTCTGGAACCTGCAAGTTTTTGAGAAGACTTCCCCTTTTTAACAAGATCACTTCACGAAAAAACAGGGCAAAAGGCGAAACGTGACCCAATTCGATCCCTGAACCCCGCCTCGCGGAAGCGGGCCAACTCCTCCTTCACCAGCTCTTGAGCTCGAGCATGTTGTTCTTGACCTACCAGTCCCTTCACCACCTCGGAAGCCGCTCGGTCGAGTGTGCAGGTGTCAATTCTCCATGCATTTTACGATATCCCACAGCTCTCAGTGAATGCAATCTCCAAAAGAATCGCCCACACACGCAGTGTATGCTGGCCCACGCAGTGTAGGCTGTACGTGTGAGGTCTCGGGACGGCGGAACCCGCTGGAGTCGGAACCTTTGAGGCTCCGGGCCAAACGCGTCGCGTCAGCCACGGCCGTCTTGTTGCCACTGGCTTTCAAAGCTCCTAATGCTTCATGGCCCTTCTCAACCGCTTCAGCCTCAGATCGACGGCGCGCGCTGACGCGCGTGGCGCCCGCCTGGGCGGCTCGGGTTTTGGGGGGTCAGCACCAGGTAAGGTGGGAGATCACCAGGCAATGTGGGGGACGCTCATGAAAAGGGAAGAAGAGACTGAAGAGACTCCCCTTTCTTTTCCTTCTGAGGGTTTCTTGGGGTCTTCCTCCCTCTCTCCGGACGAGGTCGTCCGCTTCTTCGAATTTCTCCATTTCTCCCCACGTCGCAACCCATCTATGCGCCAATTCTGCCCCGGGCAGCGAAGCACTCGGCGCCCAGGAGGTCCTCGGCCTCGGCAAAGGCCGCGCCGCCCGACACGGCCGCATAGGTCTCGGCCACGAAGTCACCTTGGGGGGCTGGGGAGCGGTGCCAGTTCAAAAAAACACGTGGAAAGAGGGTAGCTGGTTACTGGTCTTTCGACATTCCTGAAAGTACTGCGGTTGCGCAAGTCCACAAAAAGATGACCAATGAGTCGGAGATTTGAGCCGGTTTTGAAAAGCACTGCGCCATGTGCCATGAGCATCAACGACAGGTATGCCCCATCTACGTCTTGGTCAAAGGCACCACCGCCTCGACACGTTTGAAAAGGCATCCCGTGGCTCCTTTTCAAGTCAAGCTCGTTCCATGGGCTCCGAGACGGAAGTTCTGTGGCCCCAAAAACCCTCTCTGTCGATGTGCCCTCTGCTGTGCTGCTCATCTGTGCCTTGCCAGGGCCCATCTGGGGTTGGTTTGGTTCTTGACAAACAGCTTCGAAGATCCAAAATCTTCAGCTAACGCCTTGTGAAGAGACAATCACATCAGCTTCCCGAGCCGAAACGACCGGAGCAAGCTGCATCATGCTGCTTCATGCTGAGCAAGCGCTCAACAGGATCAAGGTCGGTGTTGTACGCTGGGGATTCTGAGGCAAACGAAGCGCCGATTCTTTAGGAACAAGAAGCTAGTAGTAACAAGTGCCACGCTAGTAGTAACAAGTGCCTTACTAGTAGGAACAAGAAGCTAGTAGTTTTGGACTCGACGACTCTGAACGTCTGAATTTGCCGAGCACACGAGTCCACCAGTCCGAAAGGAATGGGCCGGGCAGGGCCGGGCACGGCCTACGGAACTGAGGGTTGTGGATGGACCCAATTCGCACACCAAGTGAGAAAGCGAACCATTGTAACATCCATTAACCCATCAAAGGGTGAATTCGCACCCTCTGGGTGCTGATCTTTCCTGATCCCTTCGGCCAAGTCAGTCGGCTTCCCCAAACCCCCCACGCCAAACCGGCCAAGTCATCTCCTTCATTGGCAAGTGCAAGTCCACCACCTCGCCGATGCCTCCAAAGGCCTCACCCACTCGGCCCACTCGGCGCAGGCTCCCGCCCGCCGTCTGGCGCGCTTGTCCCCGGTCCCCGCCGGTCGGGTCGTCGGCTGCGCCGAATAACGTGGCGGTGAACGGAACCGGACCCCGGCCTTTCGCAAATGCTTCCTTAGCCCAATGGGTTCGAGGGAATGCCCAGGGGTTCGAAGGAATCAAACACAGAGGAAGGGGTCCTTGTTCCAGAGAAGAAGCCCAAGGGGGGTCCATTTTGCCCTGGGCCAATTATGCAAAGACGAACCAAAGAACTGCAACCCGTTCACAATCGAAAAAGAGCTGGACAGAGCTGCGCTGCATCCAAGGCTCTCTTGAGCGTTGAAGGACAAATTCCGCACGATCAGCCTTCCGGCCTCTGCAGTGACATTGGTTTCGTCTCCAAACAAAAGGATATAGAGAGAGAGGGAGAGAATGGCAACCACCACAAAGAACATGTTCTTTCCCAAATCAACAGGTGAGTTGCTAGTACTGTTGTTAGTATTGCAGTAAGGGCATGCTCTGATTGGTGTAAGGGCATGGGTTCAAAAGACGCAGCCCTCAGGGCAGTGGCTCGCCTTGCTGCTCTGCCGGCTCAGCTCCAACGCTCTCAAAGTGGCAGACACTGTGTGTCCTGCACTCGGAGTGTGCGACTGAGCACTGCCAAGTTGGACAGTAAAATTCTCAGAAGTCACGTTGGACCACTAAGACCACATTGGACGAAAGAGAAGTAAGTGAAAGTAAGAGTCTGGCCATTCATATCTGCTCCATGAAGACTTTTCAGCCTCAGTGCAGCCCCTATTTCCAGGATGACACAATGAATGGACAGGCAAAGCGCTGAGGGCTCTGGCGCTCGTTTGGCATTCTGGTCCTACATGATGAGGAGCGCTCGGAGCATGGCAGCGGTGGAAAACATCCAAAGACCAACAGAGGTTGAAGAACCCTATAGGCTATCCCATAGGTATCCCAGTAGGGTCTTATAAGGTTGCTTAACCTCTGTTGGGAAATCAAGGCATTCTGTGTCTCAGGCATTCTGTGTCCCGGCTCATGGGATTGTGATGGGCTAGAATTGGCTTGCCAAGCCAAATTGGGTAGGAGTTGGTAGGAGTATCACCATCCACCAACGATGTGGCCTCCAAATCTGGCGGGTGGGTCCACCTCCAACAAAAACACGGAGGTGAAATATGAATGTCACTCCAGCGACTCCGACACCGCCTGCGGAACTGTCCTTCCGGAAAGAGATCAGGAAGTGACCGGGCTTGTCAATGAGACGCCGCACAGACTGGGCGGACGGGACGGGGTCGGACCAGTTCGGTGGCTTGGCGGCAAAGCGTTTGGGATTTCTCTTGGCTTCAAAAATGTGAAGACATGTGTAGAATTATGTATTTATGGCCTGTAAAAGGTACCCTTCTTCCATCTTCCCAGAACTGGTGCTCAAAAACACCAAGAGTTGTCCGGCTCAAATCGTTGCTGGTTCCTTACCTCGATGCCGCATCCACCTGGCAACTGCTCCTGTCAAGCTCAGGGAGCTCTCTTGGCGCATCCATTCGTCCGACCAAACAGAAATCATACAAGCCTTGATGCCAGTACCATACACCTATTGGTGGTTCACGACCGGGGTATCTCCTCTAGAAACAGCAATCCCAACAAACAGGCATTGGCTCCTCGACCCAAGCTTGGAGCTCCTCTTTGGTGGTTTTCGGCCTCAAAAACACTTTCGACCTGCCAAGGGTTACAGAACATGAAGTCAACACCTGAGTCTCCCGAACCCCAAGCCACTCAACTGAAGCTTTCGTAAATGGATGGAGTCCTGGCTGCGGGAGACGGGCAACGAAGACATGACGCAAACACATATGGTGCACCAGGTGCAAAAGACATCTGGCAAGAAACATGATCACGTACGTCGTGGTTACTTCCTAATGTAGACCCCTTGATTACTAAAACCGCCCACACAAAAAGGTGTTACAAGCCAAATGGCGCTTCTGTTCATCAACGTTCTACCTTACAGCTCTTCCATACGTCCAAACATCCATACTCTGTCTTTCGGAAGAGGACACTGCATCCAACCAAACACCTGTTTTTCCGGCCACATTCCCCCCTGGGATGCCCTGGAGTGTGTCTTGGCCTCGGTCTTGCGCTTCTTGGGAGACGCATCATTGCCAGGCTCCTCCTCATCCTGCGGAATGGACTGACAGGTGGAATTCGGTGGATCGCACCCGCGCAAGTTGTCTCAGGGGTGAAAATCCAGGCTCATCGAAAACGAAGGGTACAGTACCCTACTTTAGAAAGATTCAAGACCTACATCAACCCCCTTTCAATGTGGCAGTTTAACACTCTCCGAGTTGAAATCAAGATCCATCCCACTCCTCTTGCTCTGGCCTCGAAGACGAGGCCTTCCGCTTCATCTCCAGGTGTGCCAAAGCATGGTCAGCTGTTCGTGGGCCCACAGAATTCGTCACCCCACGAATTAGACTCGTTGCCGGAGCTGGCCTATGTGGAGGAGTCGACCATCTGACTATCCTTTTTTGCTTTGGTTTGGAGTGGGACTGGTTGATCTCAAGGATCTTCAGCATCCCCCTTTTCAAACCCCTCACTTGCTACTTGTCCAATCTACCAGTATGTAATCCTCCCCAACTCAGATGAGCTCAGTGTTGCTCCCGAGCTTCCACATTCATTGAGCCAATGTCTAGCCGGCAGTCCAACAAGCTGAGCAGTCAAGCAGTCGGGCTCGCTGCACTGCAAAACAACCATCTGCTGCGCGCTGTCAACTGTCTCAGCACAACAAGGGCCGTCGCACCTATGAACCAAACTCATCAGCGCGTGAGAAGACTTGGTGACCAATGGCTTCCTGGCGCCCCAAAAGGCCATTTCCCCCCACTAAGCCCAGGCAACTGGCCAGGTGTTGGGTCGCGGAATTAGTGGGTCGAATTGAAGGATCTGTGTTTCTCTTTTGCTTTGGCTGGGAAAATAGCTGGTGGTCTTTAAGAAAAAACACCTGAACGGAAAAAAACACCTGAATCAGGAAATTCTCGGTCATTGAGTTGGGGCCTGCAGCTCTATCTTGTTGCAGGCCAGCCTACACAGCAGGAACAAAAACAAAAAGTAACCGCAAGGAAACACAAGCTTCGCTGCACCTGCCTGGTGCATGCCCACAAAATGTTGGCCATGTCTCCTTGGACCCAGCATGGCAAATTGGCAAATCCCAGATTCGCGCAGCTTTCACATGAGAGCCACTTTTCACCAACTTGCTATGAATGGAATGTCCAACTACCCACATCTTCCATCTGATCTCTCCTTTAGGTGATTCCTTTTGCTTTTTCTTTAGGAGGTATGGGAAAAGGGGGTTATAGCCATAGCCATCTCACCCCTTTTTCTCAAAAGTTCCGTCTTTCCCAAGGGACCTCGTGTGGACCGAAGGCTCCCCCCCCGGTCGAAGCGAGGTCGGCCCCGGGTGTCGTATGCGCGGCACAGACGTCGCCGAAGGTCGCGCACTGCACATCTCGATCTTCGTCACAGCCACTTGACTCGCCGCTTCGACCTGCAGGACGGTCAAATTCGGGCTTCGGCCGGGCATCAAGAGCCGTGAAATTCAAGATGTCCACGATATCCCACGATATTTTTTAGGGATGGGGCTGGTATTTAATCAGTAGAGATATTGTTCCCACCCTTTTTGGTTCCCACAGATCGATTCCACTACCAACAACCGATTTCACAGGTCACCAATTGAGATCGAAAGAAACGGATCAGCTTGGAAAAGAACTCTCCCCAAAAAACAAGAGCTCCTGAACCGTACCCCTCGATGGTCTCTGAGCCGCAGACCACTTCTTGGACATTTCGATCAGTTTGATGATCATGTCTTGCTAGACGTCCAAATGATCAAGCGATGATGGCCAATTGCGGCGGCGTCAGCGTCGCAACCTGCATCTTCACTTCAGCAGCCAGAAATTGAAGCTGTTCCTGGCCAAGACAGAAAAGAAACGTTCTCCTTGCAGCTGATTGAGCATGGCAACCAGAACATGGAGCCACACAACGTGAGTGGGATCTGAGAAAAAGTGTATTGCAGTTGGTCTCATACCTAGATGAGTCCAAAGATTCTATCTGTATGGCATTTCAACCGTGGTCGAATCTAGTTGCTCCCCTATACAAGTGAATATATAGACCCCTTCGATTCTGTAGATCAACAAGCTGCTCAAATGAGAAGCCATCCAGGAATCCAGCCTCTCTCTGCACTTTAGATGCCATAGACCACGCCAATCCAGCAAGCTCATGCCCGGAACGTCTTCTCGCCATGCACTCAGCCCAAAAGCTGGTTGCAGGTAGGTCCCGAAGTCAGAGATCGAAGCAAGCACTGGTCATTGTTGGTGTCTTACGTGCCTCTCTTCCAACAGTTTGAGCATGAGTATCAGCTCTGTCCCCCATTCAGGCATCTCGTTCTAGATGGATCTATTGTCCAATCTATCTATTTGGGGTGCGCAACTTGGATTCTGAGCTGAGTTGCCACAATGAACCTATTCTATACGCTTGAGCTGTCCATCACTCACACATGCAGGGACACGCCGACTGGAAAGGAAATGGAGGCATACATCGTCGAGGTTTGCAACTGCAAAGGTCAGGAAACACTGTTGCTTCTCTGCTCAGATGCACCGAACTCACCTGGGATGTACAGAAGCTGACAGTGAGACATAGTCATGACATAGGGTAACAGTATGTAATAGTCCAATCAGGTGCAATGCAGGATGGCGTTTAAAAAAAAAACACAGCACAGCAGGCAGATAAGTCCACACGCCCATGCTGTCGCGTTTTGTCTTGGCATGATTTCTGTCTGCATGGCTTCGCCAGAAGCTTCGGGCGCAGCCAAACCTCAGAAGCGGTGGCGGGACCCGGCCATTGCGCGGCTCGTGCGACCCGACTGACCAGCTGGGGCCTCGGGCGAAAAAAAGTCCTGGCGTGGGGGAATGGCCTTAGGTGCAACACGTCCAGAGATCTGCATCCCAAACATGGCAAAGTGTGAACACAGCCCAGGTATAGACGGTATAGATACATGCCAGGTTCATGAAAGTAAATATACACTCCCTAGAACTAACATGGAAGTGGAAAATGTTCCCTTGGATGAAAACTTCCATGTCAGGGAGTTTTAATAAAAATAGATATAAAAGCTGTCTGTAGATAATGGTACCGCGTGCCAAGTTGCTCCATACTCAGAGGAGCTCGGGCCTTGGTCCCACAGACGCTTCTAAACAAATGGTTCCCAGGATGTGTCTCTTCTGCAATAGATTATATACTGTACATGACCAACCGAAAACCACATAAGTATATAGCATGAAGTACATATGCCCATCACATGCCGAATTCTTGAGGATAGAATCCAGGTATGCTAGTCTAATCCAGTCTAATCCTTGATTTCACCCATCCAAATCCTTCTGCCGCTCAGTTGCTTGTTGAAGTAGATCCAGAACAAAACCGCTGGTCCAAGGCTGATGATGAAGATGGCCTTTGCGGATTCAGGAGTGGTAGCTGTTCATTCGTTTCAGTAAGCACGAGCTTGGAAATTGTAGCATGAGTACAAGTCATGGCTGCCAACTCTTCGGTCAGGTGTCCAACCATCCTGAAACTGGGCATCCACACCCAGCCCAGCTGCAGCAGAGCATAGCCAGAGTTGCCCGCCAGAGCTACTTGAGGGAGGGCCTCAAAAAGCGGAGGTCAAAAAAAACGCTGCCGAAGGGCTTCTTCCTTGGAGCTGTTTTCGCCGATTTGACAGTTGCAGACTTCACCCCAGAATCGCAGCTTTCGCCATCGCCATTTCCCACCCAAACAAAATCAGATGTTTCAGATTGAGGTGCCCTAGTAGGAGCTTTCGCCTCTCAAAGCGGGTGTTTCACTGTGTTTGATGAAACCAAATCCCCAACTGGATCGAAATCATTCGCTTCATCCCTGACCTGAGGCGCCCGACGGCCACTGCGGCACCGAGCATGGCCGCTTCGGCCTGCTTGCCGCGCAGCTGTGGTTCAGGGGCAGCACCGGTGCTGGGTGCCACGAAGGCGAAGCCACAGAAGGCCTCAGAAGGCTCAGTCAAAACAAAGAAGAGCAGATTGAGCAAACTGAGAAAATGTGGGTGACCTGGAGAAGGGGAAAGGGAGCCGAATTCTCATGGAGATGGATACAGTGCACTTACTTCAAGCGCAGTGTATCCACGAGAATTCAGAGGGCTCTAAGAGAGGATTGAGACTGTTCCAACTCAGGCGATCGTTTCAAGCTTCTTTCGATTCCCCCAGCAACATTGCTCTTCACTTCGCCAGGACACTGGAGACTACAGTATGGCTCCAAAATACCCAAGCGTGGTTGCATGAAGCACATGAAGTCGCTTGTGAGTTCGAGGGGTTCGGATCTTGAACACCGTAAAAAGGCAGACTCCGTAGCTCTGCTCTTCGGGAGCCTCCGTAGCGAACCGGCAGACTCCACCTTTAGAGGGAAGCGAACCGGCCGACGAGGGTTCGGACCTCCGCTTGGTCGAGCGGCCAGGGCCAAAAGGGCCACCACCAGGATGGAGCTGCTTCGGCGTGCCATTTCTTCCAACTTGTTCACCTTCCGACTCCAATTGGAGTTCACACAGAGGGAGAGGAACACCCAGGTGTTGGCCACTTGGGGAAGAGACCCATGGCCACGTGGAAAACTTTCGGATCTCGCTCACGAGCGGAATTTCCCTCAGCACCGAAAGCTCGAGCCAACGAACTTGGTGAAAAAGCCAATGGCAGTGGTTTTGGTCATTTTTTCCGGCAGACTGCGAAGGCTTTGCAAGCAATGCATACATCTCACAAAGGAAACAGACTTCTTGCGGTCCTTGCCTAAACGTGACAAGGACGAGCAGCAGAAGAGCCAAAACGCTGGGAGTGCAAACAAACGTTGTTTGGCATCCAAATGTCAAATCCCCTAGATTTGGCGGGGATTGTGGACGTCAAACAGCAAAGTGCATGAGCAAAACACTGATGAAAGAAGTAAACACAATGGCACTGGATACTCTCCTTTTTCTAAGCGTTCGCTCGGCGCATTGGGAGCGAAAACGCCTACTGCTCAGCCCACATGCGTGCCGGAACACTCCGTCACGAATCGCTTGTAAAGCCTCAGAGGTCATCTGACGCAGACGGCGCGGCTCAGACGGCGCAAGACGTGTCCGTGGTGCGGAGCGCAAGTGAAGACGAGGTCTGGATTCTTCGACCCCCCCGAGGTAGGAGGATCTGAACATGAGAACATGAGAATCCCAGTGACTGGGACCAGTCAACCGGACCGGGGTTGGTACCAAGGCCATGGATTCTTCGGTCCGGTCATCTCCAACCCGAACATCCCGAACTCACCCCAAACGCCAAAGCGCCCCGAACTGCCAAAGGGGTGTTCCCACCCAATGGGTCAGAGCACCGGGTTGGTGTCCGCACCGGTTTCCCTCCGGTGCACCCGGTGTCCACCGCACTCGTCGTCCTTCGCACCCGTTCGGCACCGGTGGTGCTGGCGTGAGAAGCATCGGCACCAGGTCCAAGGAACGCCATGGCATGCCGTTGTCGGGCCTCGCCGATCAGCATCCTCAGGTCCAGGTCCACAGTCGCAGGTCCAGCAACGGTCCAGTCGTGGAGGAGTGGAGAGCACCAGAATGCCAGAAAACCAAGCGATCCCAGGAAGAGGTGTCCGAAACACGTGTCCAGTGCCCAGTGAAGCGATCGAGTTTCCGACGATCAACGTATTTCATCCCCTGCCTGAAAGGACCATCAGGACATGCTTTCAGCACGTTGAACTTCGGTGGCATCCGGATGCTCTGTGGTGGGAGCCTCCAGTGGCAGAAGTTCCCAGCTTAAAACTTCGACCACAGAAATCAAGAGCAACATCTGAATCTGGATTCTGACGGTAACAAAAACCCAAGTGGGCAGCAGTAACTTCGCTACCATCCTGGAGTCCCAGGTCACCTATAGGTCCTAGGTCCCTTATATAAGTCCTCACCCAGGCCATTCTGCATGCAAAATCTAGAGGACGCCTTTGACCCACCAAACCACTGCAAAGCTTTCTGAGACCCAAGCGCTGCTCCACTAGGTACCTGGGTCGGAGGACACCATGTCCATCGTCCACCGAGCAAGCCATGCCATGCATGATGGTGCAAACAAGATACGTATTTGAACGTGTAGACCTGAGTGGCAAGGCGAGTTTTCCTCTCCGATGCAAACTCACCTCCCTGCAGCTTCGCAACCATGTCAGCATCTTTTCGCTGCACATTGTAGTTCTCACCGGCCTCCGGCCGCCGATGCCTAGGTCTTTGGCTTCAATCAATGTCTTGCGATTGTCAAAGGCACATGCTTCCAATCATTGCAACACAACAGCCGTGTATGGTCCGATCATGCAGTCTCTCATGATGGTCTGCAGACCTTATTCACATTGATCGCACTCTCTCCTTCTCCTTGATTCCTTGATTCAAAGGCACACATCACGCTTGTCGCCATAGGATCGTCCATATCTATGAAGATGCCATTCCATGAAGGGCATCCTCAACCAACGCGCGCGAGCCAACGAGATCCGCCAACCAGCGCGGCCAACGCCCAAGCGCCGCCGAAACTGCCGCCAGGACGCGTCTCGATGTGAACAAACTCGTTTTCGGCGGCGGCCTCCATGATGTAGAAGAATCGGACCTGGGTTCGGTGTTTCACAATGGACACCAGGCACACAAAGTGTGCCAAGGCATCCTTTCTGTTTCAATTCTTTTCAGTTTCAGTTCAGGCTCTCAAGGTTGCACCTGGCTACCTTCGAGCCCTCAGATCCTCACTCCCACAGCCGTCTTGCTGGAGGCCACCTTCGCCAGCGTTTTGCGCGCTTCGTTCGCTTCGACCACCGACGACGTCTCGTCTCGTCTCCGGCCTTCACGAGTCCTCCAGGCTTCATGAAGGAGCGCAAGGCGCGGAAGAAGAGCCGCATGAGGTTCTCATGGCGCCAATTCACACAGGGGTGCCCTGCCACGACGTGGAAGACGCGAAAAAAAAGAAGCGCAAAACAACGCGTATGAAGCGGTTCACCCGCGGGGCTTCCCGCGGGTGTTGAAGACCGACTCGCCACGCGGCTCGATGCCAAGCTTCGTGGTTTGGGGCTTCCCCCCTTTTTGAGATAAGCCCACATGTTCAGCTGCAATCTGGAGTTCAGTACACAACTGGCCTGCTTCCAATGCTCTTACGAAAGTCGTGGCGAGCGAAAAGTGTGCCAGGCCGGCCATCAAAGAAGCCTGTGACGACGCCGGCATGTGGGAAGTTGTAGTAAACCGCCCCGAGGCGGCCCTGCACAGCGGCACAGCACAAATGAAACAACATCAGCTTTCTATGGCTTCGGAAAAAAGAGCTGCTTTCAAAACATTCCCAGTCCATCTTCACAGCTTCACTTCGGACACAAACACTCCGTTTCCAAAACCAATTTGCTCCATCGGCCGGAAAACAATCCGCATGTTGCGTGCTTGTTCAAATCGGTCAAGAATTCTCCGGCCGCGGACCTCCATTCCTTGAAAGCGGCTGTCAACCGCAATTCGTGTACAATCGACACCATGGTACACCTGGGGTGATCGACACGGTGACCCGACGTTCGGGCCTTCTGTGGGCGTTCTGTGGGCCAGTTGGCATCATTGAAAGGATTCTTGTTGAAGGCCGTACCTTTTCTTGATATGCAGGGAATAGAAAGCAAGGTAAATTCAAATTGGTAAATCCCGAACTGAACATGTGTTGGAAGTCCTTCGCCTCCATCTGAGGACCTTGACAAACCCAAATGGAAGTGATGGACCTCTTACTCAACAGGGTCATCTTCCAGCAAGCCACCTGGCTTGCTGGACGGTGAAGGAACACCAAGGAATGAACACAGACTGCCTGCTCACCCGCACTGCTCAGGTTCCGCTTGGGTCCGCTGCCTCGGTGTAGAGACCTTCCAAGGTCTTGATGGTCTCATCAATCTCCTTGCCAACCGTCGTCTCTTCTCACTGGTGCCACGAGAGAAGAACTCTCCATCCATCGAGGGTTCTTCTAAATTCATGTGAGGAATCTCATTCGTGCAGGTGAGTGAACCCGAAAAGTCCATCAGCACCAGTCTCCTGTGGCACTTTTCTCTAGTGTCTCTTCTACCTCTTGAGTGTGGAAACTGTACGCGAGAGGTGGCACAACTTTTGCCCTGGGACAAAACAAAAGCTGCAGTGATCGCCTTGGGTCTTTCTCCAACCCAATGGCCTCATCGCCACGAAATCCGGCCACGCCCAAAGGTCCGAGAGAAGCCCAGGCTGGCCCACGAAGGAGGCTTCGGAAGCCCTCCTCCGCCGATAGGCCCAGATCGAGGGGCCCCGGAGGGGCCCCCCGCCAGCCCCTGCCCCTCCTTGTAGCGTTCTCGAAGGCAATCCAGAGTCTCGAAGGTTGTGGCAATGATACGGCCCACATGACCGAGCGCCTCCGAGATCGTTCGAAGGGCTGTGTGTCTGAGACCGAGGACGGAGAGACGAGGACGGAGGACGGCGAGGTGGGTCAAAGTCCGGCGCGAGCGCGTGGCGGTCGGTTCCGGTCAAGTAGAATCACGAGTCAAATCCCTCCTTTTTCGACTTCAAGAAAGAAAAACATACACCTCCGGAAAGACCTGGTGTCCAGAGACCTCGTGGGGGCGTCCTCGGGCCCGGTGAAACCGGGTTGCGCCTCCCGGTGCTTGGCGAGCTTCAGCGCCTCCGGTGAAACCACCAGGTTTCAGCTCTGGTCGTTTGACTGTCAACGTCTGGAAAACATGCGACCTATGGGACCCTATGGGACGTGCTTCAACATGGTTGTATTGATCCGTGTGGGTGTTTAGGGTACCGGTCCGGTGGGTATGAAAATGGGACATCAACATCTTGGATCCAGTTGCTGTTGCGGCCATCAGTGGTGGAGTGATGGGAACGATGTCACTCTGATTTTCACAGCTCTGGGGAAAAAATTGGGTTCCCTTTCCGTCCAAGTTCAAAGATGTGCCCGACCCACTTTTCCAGCTTCTTGGTGCATGACCTGAGACCCGCTCAACCTCTCAAGGAAAGTGTCCTGAACCCGTTGTGTTCTGCGGATGGCCGACCATCTGGTGAGTCACGACCATCTGGTTCTCATTTTTTCACTTAGCTTGATGTGATTCATTCTTAGGGTCTTTGCGGGGTTGTTGCTCCAGCTGTTTGCTACCTTTTTCTGACCCATTCTGACCCACAGTACCATCTGCTGTTTGAAATCCAAGGTCTTTTTTCCCCTGGTTTGTGTGGTTCGCACCTGGTTCCATCTTCTCTTTTGGTTGGAACCGATTCAGCGGTCCAAGTCAACCAAAAGGGCAGTTATTCTTTCACGGCTTTTCCTTCGATTTGCTTGAGGAACTGGGCAAAGATACCATGTTTTTCTCACCACAAGGGGGATTCACCACAAAAGGAAAACGAAAGAAGATCGAAATCACCCGAAGCAAAACGGCCGGCTTTTGACCCATGTCCCAAAGATCAAAGAATATCCCAGGCACGAAGCTCAGATTGGCATCACCAAAGATGGCTGCCACTGCCATGGGGTCGATGAGCTCAAGGCGGTTGAACCTCACGCACTTCCGAAAAGGAGCAAAGCCCCAGCACTGCAGCTTCTCAAGTGGTACGTGGGGTGTGAAGAACTTTTATCTTTGGTTTCCCAAGGCTGGCTCCTCCAAATGACCCAAACACTTGCAATTAATCACCCTGAAGATCTAACCTGTATGAGAGGGTCGCTGATGACCCCTCGCTGCTGGTGCAGGAGAAGTTGTTGATCAACCGCATTGCGTGAAGAAACAAGTCTTCCTTCGCCAGTTCACCGTGGCGCAAAGGTGAGATGCTGGGGAAACAAGGACTGCACCTGCACGTGAACTGAGACAAAATATGTAACCACAACATCAAAGAGTCATGTTGCCATGTCCGTGTCATCGTTTTTGGTTCACCAACATCTGAAGAGTTGGTCCCAGTTGGGCCCAACCAGCGAATCAATTGGGACCATGTGCAATAGTATCCAGCGATATCTTATGTAGGGAGGTTTGATATGGTTTGATATCTCTAGCCTTGGAATGGCTTGTAGGCAACTTCACTCCTCCCTCCATTCAGGGGAGTCCCCAAAAACTCGGATAAACACATGCTCGTTTGGCCCATCTGCTTCCCACCGCCGTGCTCCCACCACTTGAAGCTGCGGCTTGCGCTGCCTCGTCTCTTGCAGCCAGGAGACCGTGCCATCACAGGCAGTCCCAGTTCTCCCGCGAGAGCACCCTCCGTAATGCCTTCGTTCACTTCGAAGCTCTCAGCCTCTTCAATCACCTCCTGCACGAAGTGGAGAAGACTGGAGAGAACACTGGAGAGAAGACTGGAGAGACACCGAAACTCAACCAAAGAGGCATTTCACCGGGGTGTTTTTGGGGTCAGACAACGAAGGGTCGAAAAGATCATCCCTGTTTCATGTAGACTCGTGATGAATAACCCCGGGGTGTAATCCATATATATATATAATATACTCCGAGTATGTACGAATGCGTTCCTTTGCTTTGCGACCATGTGGAAGTGAAAAGCTGCCAGTTGCCACACACCGTCGCATGTCGAAATGTCTCCTCCAGAGGAGTGCTTTCATCATACTCCTGCAGTTTCGATCTCATGGGCAGGAGGACAAATCAAGCTCCAGGACAAGTCATGGCCAAACATTTAGATCAAGTTTTCTTGCCCGCGGCATCTCCTTGATGACATATCGCAGGTTTTTGTGACTCAGCTCGCGAAGCCTGGCCTTAAAGAGCAAACAAGCTCCAAAAGCAAGCTCTATAGAAGGGCAAACAAAAATATCTAACATATGATCAGCTTTCCCTCCCGAATTTCACGAACCCCACCTCACCTCTTCTTCGGCGCTGAGCTTAAATCGATGCTTGAAAGCCGCCACCAAGTCCACCGATCCTCCGCCAGGACCACCCCCTCGGATGCGGCGCCACACGACGCCCGATCTGACGCGCGTCACTTCCACTTCGTGCTTCGGGGCGGGGCCCAGAGGTGACGCGGTTGCTGCGGGCGACCACCAACACCTCCCATCGGTGGATGCCAACCGAGCGGCTCTCTTTCATGGCGGCCACCTGGCAATGGACCAACTCGCCAGGACCGCGCTTCCTCGGAACCGAACGAACCGTCTACCGACGCCGGGACCGGAGTGGCGGTCCGGTCCGGGTCCGACTTGGACGAAGCGTGACAAGGGTCATGTTGAACTTCTCCGGAGTGTAGGTGTTGTCCAACAACTGGCAAGCAAGACATGCACCAGTCGTTGGAGAAAAAAGAGAACGGAGCTGCCGGAGGTTCCGAAAGAAGGCAGTGTCTTATTGCTGAAAAAATTGAAAAAATATACAACGGTTTCGTCGAGAAGTGGTGATCATTGAATAGAGGCAGCGGGGGAGCTCAATGTTTTTCACAGCAACCGGACCGTGCTGAGAAAATTGACTCACCATGGTGTGCTGCGGTCATTGTCTAATTCAGGAAGACCTTCACCTTCAGCCTCTGGTTTTCATGTTGACAGCATCAAGTAGTTGCGAGTCGAACGATTAAAAAACATGTCGTCTTCCTCTCCACCAAACACACTTCCGCTCAGCTCTTCCGCTCAGCTCTTCCGACACGACGGTCCCTCGGCGAAGGACGTCTGCGGGTTAACGACGTCGAAGGCCGCCTGCCTTGAGCTCGTCCATGGTGAAACTCTCCAGCACATGTCTGGTGACTTTGTCCTCACTGCCAGGACGTCTGGGAAGGGCCCCTTTTGGCCCAAAACGACATAGAAAGACCAGGAGTGTTCACTGAAGATCCAGATTTCACAGCCAAGAGGTAATTGATGGTAATAATACCTAAGAGCTGCGCAGAGAGCATGTTCATAGACTCCACTATTCTTGGCCATTTTTTGGACGCCCTGGCCCCCGCATGGTCATGAGTCAAGAGTGGCCACCCAACAGAACTAGGCCGACTGCCTTTCTAATGACCCCCAAAAGACGCGAGAACACCGGCATACAGCAGGAGTGCTTCATTCTTGCTGCAGAGTCCCTGATTCCCTTGCAAATGTATTGAAACATTGTGAATCTGCGGAGGGTGATGAATCAACCCTGGTGTTGTTTCAGGTTTCACCCAGTCTTCTCCTGCAACAAACCCCATCTGGTGAGGAGCTGCTGGATCCGGGCCTCGTTCATGGCTTGCCGTTCAACGAAAAAACGAACAACGTGACAGTTTTATGCCATGCAGAGCACCTCATCAGTGTTGGAAGCTGCTGGCTCCTGCAACAAGGCATCGGTCAAAGAGCATATGCCCATCCATTAGGGCCCAGATTGGCAAAAATCTATTCAAAAAGCCGGAATCTTGTAACTTTCAAGCGCGTTGTGTCGTTTTATTAATCACCTCAACGCCGTCCTTTTCACACCAAAGCTGTATAGCTGCGTCCTTCTTCCGCCGCCGCTTCCCAAGCACCTCTTCTGGGACCTGTCAGAACAATCGTTGGGCCCGAATGGCCACCCAACACGGGCAGTGCCTCCTCGTCTTGGGAGAGAAGGCGCTTGAGGCGTAGAGTTCCTGTCTTTAGACGATGCAAATCGATCAGGCTGAAAGTAAGGCTGATACGAGAGAGAGAGAGAGAGTACCTGAATTGAAACATGTCCTGGAGGTTGCAAATGGTTCAAAACGACGGGCGCCATATGGCATGTGACATTTGACATGTTGTGCTGCTTGATGCAAGGGAAAACCTTGCAACTGCATGCACAAACGTCTCGGATGGCAGAATGGCAAGCGCTGCATAAATCCTCGAATCCAGTCTGCTGAACTGAAGGGCCAAGGCTTCTTTTGAATAGAGATTGATGTTAAAGAAGCCATCCACCCGCCCGTCAACATATGTCCAATACCCTCAGGCCCTACACTTCCGACCACATGACTTGTCTTCCCGAACTCCTGTGACTCTCCCCTCTTGAGATTACTCGTCTACCAGTCATGACTAGTTTGGAGGGTCACCGTACGAAGTCTTCTCATCGCGCAGAAAGACGCTCTGACTGCTTCCGTGTTTGTTTCCACCTTCCACCGCTTCCATCAGGTGGTCTTGTACTCCTTCATTGTCCTTCCGCGAACCCGCTTCGCTCGGTTGATGCACTGGTGGAAGCAGCCGAAGCAAAAAAAGAATCGCAGCCAGGAGGTCTCGTGATTTCTGCGCTCAAAGCATTGCAAGCCTTGCAAAAGCATCTCCCAAAAAATAGCTTCCAAATGACTCTAAGGCATAGAACTCAGCCAACTCATCATACAACCCGGGTCCTCCACCTCCTGAAGATTTCACAAGCGAAGTCGAGCAAACAAATCTGTGCCCCGTGATGCTCAAGCGACAAAAAGTCAAACGCCTCTTCTGAAGCTTCCTCTTCCAGTACCGCTTCCTTCGTAACAACGACAGTACAACAAAATGTAGTATATATATATAGAGAGAGAGAGTTAATTATATAACGTGTTGTTAATCTGTTCTTTTGTTTTTCCTTAGCTGTTCGTGGCTTGAGCACGTTGCACCGCTCAAATTGTACGGCACATCGGGTGTGATGAGAAACAGCAAACGTGCGGGTCGGCCCACCTCCTCTGGCAACAAATCAATGTTCTCTTGAACTTCCTCCTCCAGGACGATTTCTTCCTGACAAACAACGCCGACCCGTGCACGTCTCTTTTCTAAAAGCGTGACATACAAGGACCAAACCAACAAACCGTCATCAGCTGCCTCTTCGTCATCCAGTTCCAAAGCGGTCTTCTCGACCTGCCATTGAGGTGAGGAAAAGATGTTCAATTATTCTTTCAAGTGCCTTTGTCTGGCCTCTTCATCTGGCGCCACCAGTTCAGCCAAGACTTCTCCCTCAATCTCATTCAGTTGCTCCAGTGCATCGTCCCCAAACTCTGCCAAAGTCTCTTCCAGAACGTCAGGTGCCAATTCTTCTCCAAGCACATCCTCTTCTGTATCTAGGACTTCCTCCTCCACTGCTTCCTGCGAGTCAGTGACCAGTCTGCACTACCGCAAAAGTCTCTAGTGTTACGTACCTCCTCCAAAGCCTTCTCCAAATCTCCATCCTGATATTCCTTCCCGGCATCCTGCACAAAAGAAAACACAGCACTGGTTGCTAAGTCAAAACCTAACGAAAGATTTAACCTCATTGCAAGTCTGCAAAGCACACCTGCCTGTTCATCTTCCCCTGCATCCTCCAGATCCTCAACGTCTGCATCTGCGATGCCGCTTTCTTCCTCCATGGCAATCCCAGCCCGTGCCTAAAGCCGGGCACATGAAAAATAATTATCAGTTTTGATGCTGTCCATAGCCTACTTCAAGCTGCAATGGTTCCACTAGGTCATTGTCCAAACTCTGCGCAGTGTGCACCCCTGTCAAAAAATGCGAACCAGTGAACACTATATATATATACTTGTTTATTCAAGTATATATATATATGTATTTACATTACATGTGTACAGTATATATATATATATGTCAAGGCCAAAGTGTGTGTTGCATGTAGATGGTGCAAGCTCAAGAAATCCGAACGGGACAAAGTCACGTCAACACCGGTCAGTCCACATCACACCTGTCACTGCGACACCACACGAATGTTCGAGAGGGCTCGACAGGTTTCCGTCTCTTGGTCCCGGTCCGAAGAGGAAGGGAAAACGGTGAAAGCCTATTTGGGGGAGATGAGAGGTTCTCTGAGGCGGACAACGGGATACACGATACACTCATGGATTCTTCAAGCATGGCTGTGGTAAATCCTGCCTCCGAGCCGAAAAAACGACCGTCCCAGGCATCGCTGGTTTGAATGGTCCACGGTGCGTGGTGCTGATTCATGGAAAGCCAATTCAGACGATGAGTCCAGTGCCAAGGAGGGCGACAGCTTCGCTGGTTTTCCGAAAGCCGGATCAGTGCATTTCGTCGAAAGTAGGTCCGCTCCTGAGGAGCATCGGTCGCCCTTGGGGCGATTGCGGACATTGACTAGTGGAGCCGAACAGCATTCGACTGGCCTTGTACAAATCCTAAGAACTTTAAGACGGGAGTGTTGTCGGCCAACTGGATGTAGACCTCGGAACCAGCCAGGCGTCCATTGATGGAGTCACCACTCTTCCTGATCTGGCAAATCTCCACTACTTCATTCGCTTTTCGCTCACAATCCACTCGTGCATCAAGTTTGCCACGCTTCTTCTTGAAGCGAGAAACGTACTGCAACTCTTTGGCCCGATAGCTATAGTCATGTTGGGAGTCTGGTTTTGCTGTTGAATACAACTCAATCCACTTGCCTTCGGCCAATATGCCCCAATATTGGCCATCTTTTTCCTGGACGTCTGCCACCCTCACCTCTTGGTGCGCCAGGATGCATTCGCCCATGCGCTGCTTCAATCTGTAGCGTCCAGGTTGGAATTTGTGCTCACGAATCTCTGGCATGAAACTCCAAAAGAGCCAGATCTGGCAGACACTCATAATCAAACCCACCACACAGCCAATCTGCTTTCGGGTCTGCCATGTTAATCCATCCTCGAACCATCGATTGTTGAGAAGGACATCTAGGTCCTCCAAGCACACACTGAGCCAAAACAATAGAGACAACAAAGTCCCAATCAAATGTCCGGCCTTTTCCAGGAAGGTACCACGGCCCATCAGGCCCAGGGCCGCCGACACCAGGACTCCAAAGCCAAAGGCCACGGCGAAGACTTCACACAGCGAGCTCGCTCCAAAGGTGTCGTTGTGTATCTTCGTCCAAAGGTGCTGCCATGAGCACAGGAACCAGCCCAGTGTGTTGCCAAGTCCAATGGTCCAAGCAGATAAATAGTACATCTCACCCATGGTCATTTGCTTCCGAAGTTGAACGGCGTTGTAGTAGTCATCCTGGTGGATACCCGAATCTAAGAGCACACTGGCCTGGCATGCGGCAGGAATGCTCAGAAGCGCAGAGCTGGTGAAGCCGAAGACCAGTGAAATGACCGTATAGATCTGCAACGAAGGGGTGCGCATGAACGCACACACCGCGACGATGGCAGACATGGTCCCTTCATAGCGACCTTCTCGGTCCTGGTGCTTGAGCAAGTCATGAGTTGGAAAGCCTTTGCGAATGGAGTCCTCGATCGCTTCAGACATTTTCACTTGGAAGAGATCTCTTCCATTCAACCAATTCGGCACCAAAGTTGCAGCAAGCATGAAGAAACCATAGTATGGCTGGCCTTGTTCCAGAAGACCTATGCCACTGTACACATCAGCCAGTGGTTCTACGGTGTTCAAGAGATGAGCAAGCCTCAAATTCAAGGTCTCTGCATCTTTATCGCTCCTTACACCAAGGATGCGATACAGCCAACTCTGACTGCGGTAAGGCCCTTCTTCACGGAAACTGGTCTCGGAGGGAGGCTCATAACTCTCGGAGCTTTCCTCATCTGTCTGACCTCTCACCAGGTGGTGTGTTTTCCTTTCAGCCAGCTTTCTTTGCACCCAAGCATAAAACTGAGGCAGTCCATAGAGCACAGCTGACAGAATTGCCAGAACAGGAAAGGATGTTCCAAAGACATCAAACATGGCACACGCCGCCCAAGCTTCTGCTTTGAAGCATACAATGTCGTGGGTGTCGGCGAAGTAGGGCACAAAGAGATCACGGCCACGGCACCATTCGAAGCACTCAATGCCACCCTCAATGTCCGTGACGACATCCTCCTTTTGGATCTGTTTGCAAGCTTCTGGCTTGGAGCTGTCATCATTGCAGTCTGTAAAGGATTCAAGTGGCTTTAAGAAGGCAGGTGGTACCCCGCCCTCACAGACTCCCTGGTGTAGATGTCTCTTCACACTCCAGGCCGTGGCGGTCACCGTCAAGATCGCGATCAAGGCGAGAACCAGTAGAAGGATCGCTCGGACCATCTCACTCTTGCGGGGGCGATCGCCCGACACGTAGAGCGACTGCAGGAAGTTGCCAATCATCACCTGACGTGACGAGGTGAAGGTGGGGAATGTGGTTTTCCCCGGAAGGTCCGATGGAAGGTCCAAATTTTCCAAAGACACCCCACCCACGCAGGTCGCGCCACGCTGGGTAGACACCGGGTTGACCAGCGACCATGTGACCATGTCTGACACCAGTGTCTTGACCGGTGCAGAAACGCGGAGACATGCGCCGTTCGACGTGGCCAGGTACCGGTGGAGCCAACGACGGCCAGTACGACGAAGACCGGCCCCGCCGGCGACTCAGATCGAAATTGGACTGCAGAGAAAAACGAAGACTAGCAGGCACTGAAGAAGGGATCCGAGTACAAGAAATACTGCGCGATCACGATGGGAGGACGACTGGGAAACAAACGTACAGCATAAGTGTTGCATGTATTAAACCTTGGAATGGGTGACAGTCCCATTCGAGTTCACGGCAAACCTCAAAATCGTGAAACCAGCCTTGACGCAACCTCGCTGCAGACTCTCGAACTCCAACCCAACCTGAATGTTTGATGCACCGAGCGCCCAACTCCACCTGTTCTCGTCATTTGCAACTGATAGGTTTCTTATCCTTCAATGCAAACCGCTTGCGCACACTTTTCTTACTCAGAAGTGATTGCCGCATTCAGTGTCTTTCTTCTTCCCTTGAAGTCTCCAAGTGAATCTCTGCTTCAATGTTTGCGTGTCTCCAGTTCTCCTCAAGAGATTCATTCCTTTTCAAAAGCTATATAGGTACTGTTCGCAACAGTTTGGATTAAATTCCTTTGATGTGTAAAGGTGCACAGCCAAGAAGAAAGATGAGATCATTCCAAAAACAAACACCCAAAATAATGACCTGACAAAACCAATAATCACCAGGCCAAATATCCCTCCAAGCGATTGCGTGCAAACAGGGTGTTGATGTTACTGTGAAGGGATGGTTCAGAATCGCAACGGAAAAGAGAACGCCTATCCGACAGGTAGCTGAATCAGCACGATACACAATCAGCGAGAATACATGTTGGTGAAGAAGGTGACGTGAGAGGTTTCGACTTCCATGCTTCACTGGACCACATGTCACAAAAATCCTCCATCTATATGGTGGTGTTCCACCCATGTTGGAACCCATTCACAAGAGTTTGCATGGCAGCCAGTCATGGCAAGCCAAGCACTGGCTGCCTTGTTAAAGAACTGAGGCCGTCACAGTGAAGGCGATGGCCCAGCAGGCGAGCTGCAGAGTGACGGCAAAGAAGTTGGCCCAAGTCGTGGGGAGCCAAATGCAAAAGCTCCACACCACCAGGCTGAAGGGTAGCAACCACAGAACCGAGAAGCTGGACCATATTCCGCACCACACCACATGAGATTCCACTTCAAATTTGCTTCTTTCCCTTTTCTCGAAACTGTCGCCTGCTCCGCCGTGCTCGTTCACCACCATGACCGTTCGGAGGCTTCCGTGACCTTCATCACGCGCAGACGAACCGTCACCCTCCGACTTCTCCCAATGGCGTGAGATCCGGGGCTGCAAGTACAAGATCAAGGCAAGGGAGGCCCACGCCACCAACCACCAAAAAACATTGGTGGCCGTCATGGACACCGCGCTTTCGCTTTTGAAAAGCAGCTCTTTGGCTGCTTGAGGTGAGCACTTTTGTTCAAGGCCATACAATTCCCAAGCTCAACGCCTTGTCAAACAGGAATCAAGGCCGACATTTCAATAGGACCGGACTCTTTTGCAATCTTCAGAATGTCACAAGTAAGACCCCTGCTGTTACCAAAATGTAAAAAATATAACTATTTTCTTGCAACCGAATCGCTGCAGCTGTGCTTAAAGCATTTCCTTTGACAATGCTTAGAAATAATAAGTTTTCATGACAATGCCCGATCTCTTCGAAGAAGTGGAACGGGCACGCCTTGCTCTGAACTGGGCCCATCAATGGTGAGGTTTAACTAGTAACAGGGTCACTTCTACCCTGCGGACCCTGATCCAACAACAACAACTTAGCAAGGGGATGAATAAAGTACACCGATCTACTCCTGGACAATCATCAGGGCTTCAGGCAAAGCACCATTCAACATGAGCGTTCTTGTCGTCCGGGCGAGTCAAAAAAAAAAACTCATCCGCCATCATCGGCTGCGACCTGCGATAATCGCCCTTTCTACGTTAGTCGCAAAGCCATCATGGCATCCCTGGCTGCCTTCTACAGCAGCACATCTCGGCGTGCAATGCTATGCAAGGCGGTGTTCAAGCCTGCGATGCACTTGGATGCCAGGAAGCAACAGGTGAATTTGGTGCTTAAGGACAATTCCCACCAAAAAAACAAACATTTCA